CGCATGGCTGCGCTGTGTTGCGGTAATGAATGCATGTGTTTGTGGGTGTTGAGCACTGCGGCGTGGGCTGTCCAGTGGGCGTTCAGAAGGTTTTCAAGAGGCTATATATCAATGGGATGCATTCTCATTAAACCTGCTTCTATTTCTGTAGAGAAATGAATTAATTCTCTTTTTAGATGGATAGGTACATTTAGATGTATTTTATATATTTTATAGAGTTTTATCTAACAGCGTGATTGCAAGTATGATATTGCTTTCTTACAATTCCAGAAGCTGACGGACAGTAGTGAAGTATTTTTACTTTATTAACTCGCTCGAAGACAGCCACTTGGTTCAGCACATACCTCTGTTTGATGTCACGGTTTGGTACGTTTTTTAGTACAGTAGGGAAAAATGAAATAAAATAAGCTTTTTTTATTTTTATCAAACAGTTGTTTACCGAACAAATTGTGGCTCTGTCTTTAAAGGTGGGGTAAACTATTTTTCAAAAACACTTTAGAATACTGATTCGGGCCGACTAGCAAAACAAACTTGTAGCCAATCAGCAGTAAGGGGCGTGTCTACCCCTGATGTGGAGGAGAGAGCGTTCAGTGCACACTGCACAGGACGGACATTAGCGAGTGAGCGACAGAAAGATAGAGATGGCGGATAAAAAAACAAAAGAGGAAAACGTCTGCGGAACAAAAGAAGGCTTAAGGCAATAAGGCAAGAAGTAGGACCCGTGTAAATATCGGATCAGCTTTCCAGCACTGGAGAGAACTCAAGGAGCGGAAGGCCTGCGATCGGACGCTGAGGTTGCTTTGTTTCTTCTCGATAGGTAAGTAACACCGTGTCTGCGCCGCAACAGCAAAAGTCTGTCTAGTACACTGGATGCGACAAAGCGACTGTTGAAAATCATTTGAAATTTGTGTAAATATGTCATGAATAGAACGCAGCACCAGTTTTCTGTCGTGGATTTGTCGTGCCGCGCTGCATCCAGTGTAGACCATAGATATGTATATATATCTATGGTGTAGACAGCATCACTGATTATGAGTTCTATAGTATTTTGTCGCGCCGCGCCACTCGCATCCGGTGTAGACACGGTGTAACATTGATTTTGCTTTGTTTCACAGAACTATTCGTTGCCTGGGTTGCATTCGTATGTGCGGGCGGAGCTATCAAAATAGGGTCGAGACCCTTTTGGGGTAGGGGTGTGTTTGTTTTGGTGATTTCAAATATCAACATTGGCTACCAGAAATTGCTTACCCCACCTGTAAATAAATTCAATTCAGCGTTTATCTATTAAAATGTCCTAATGGACAAAAAAATCTACCTCAGTTAATGCTGTCAATTTTTAAATATAATAATCAACACTAATGAAAATAAGCAAATTGCACATAAGGCAGTTTTTACATTAACTTATAAATAGTTTCTATTCCAATTCTTTGTTAAAATATATTTATTTACACATTTATTTAACATACAGTAAATAATTAAGACATCACTAACAGGTTAAGTAAAATATAATTAATATAGGCTAATATAGTGCATATATGTAGTGAAATACTCTCCCAGAGTTTTCTCTACTAGTGAACTAACGAGCTGTGGGCACTGAATGACTTGCCTGAGGTAAATGTAACGTTACGTGAAAATGTTAACAAGCTGTCTTTTTGCGGGGCAGGGGTACTGTATTGGGGGCCCCGACGATGGAGGGGGGAGGTTACTATTTCTACCGAGGGGAATGCTATCATGATTTCTACCGAGGGGGATTCCCCCAGATCGCGACTTATTGAGGGGAACGCGATTTCTGTGGACGGAGGGGGAACCCCGACCCCCACCAGAACGAGGGGGCCCGGGTGAATATGCTGTCCAGGGGGCCCAGAAACAGTGCCCCTGCTGCGGGATGAAACACTGATTGAGTGATTACATGAGACATGAGATGTATATTCATGTTTATTTCATTCTATAACTAGTAGTGTTGTTTTCAGTATTGTGAGGCATCTATACACACAATAAATAGTGTCAACAGAAGCATGGACCTCTCATGGATCAGTATCGGCTCTCCTCAGCCCGATACTTATATTACACCGGCTGTTATGCCGGTGTCGTGCAGTAGGTGGCAGTATGTGCCTATAAGTGGGTTTGCCAACCGCCATTAAAAGGAAAAGAAGTGCAACATATGTATGTGGCACAAAAGTTCCAGTGAGGTCTGTTCTAGCATCTCTCACACTTCCGAGCTTCCATGTTTAGTGTATTTAATGCACACTTTTGTAGCAAATCTCTCATTTATTTATTGGCTGCATCCGAAAGCCTAGGCAGCTATCTTGCTGCCTCGCTGCCTTATCAGGCAATGACTTTGCAGACAGCCTTTTTGCACGAAGGCACCTCATGAAACTGTGAAACACTTTATTTAGTGTTTAATTTATTCCTGTGATTATAAGCTGAATTTTCATCTTCCATTACTCCAGGCCTCAGTGTCACATGATCTTTCAGAAATCATTCTGATTCATTATCAATATGCTGATTTATTAATAATTTTTTTCAGGATTCTTTGATTAATAAAAAGTTAAAAATAACCAAATATTCAAAACAGAAATTACTGTCACTTTTTATAAAAGTATTCATATCTTTAAATTCTTAAAAAAAAAAATAGGCCTACTCCCAAACTTTTGAACGGCAGCATGTGCGTGTATGTACATACTTTTACTTTCTGCACAACTCTGTATGCATTGGATTAATTTTTATAATTTTACTGCACTTGAATTGTGCACCAAACACTAGGAAAATACAAGTATCGGATCGGGACTCTGTATCGGCAGATATTCAATATTCAAAGACTTGGATCCGTTCAGGGACACAAAAAACCTGATTGGGCCATCACTAGCATTTATTGTTTAGATTTCCTTATAAAAATGGTCTACATGGGACATGTCTAGTGAAGTTTTATTCACACATCAAATTCAAAAGCATAGACTAAAAGATCAATCTGTTTAAGAACTGATATAGATTGATATATCTCAATGTAATATATATGTACATGAATACATGTCTATATATTTATAGTTTCACTTTGTTTGAAGTCTCTGCAGCAGACTGTGTGATGTTTCACACTATTAATTGTACTCCAAAAACACATGTAACTCTTGAATCTACTATAATTAACTTTTTTTTATTATTATTATTTCAATATTCAAAGACTTGGATCCGTTCAGGGACACAAAAAACCTGATTGGGCCATCACTAGCATTTATTGTTTAGATTTCCTTATAAAAATGGTCTACATGGGACATGTCTAGTGAAGTTTTATTCACACATCAAATTCAAAAGCATAGACTAAAAGATCAATCTGTTTAAGAACTGATATATATATTGATATATCTCAATGTAATATATATGTACATGTATACATGTCTATATATTTATAGTTTCACTTTGTTTGAAGTCTCTGCGTGATGTTTCACACTATTAATTGTACTCCAAAAACACATGTAACTCTTGAATCTACTATAATTAACTTTTTTTATTATTATTATTATTTATGTGTTGCTTTCGGCTACGTTTGATTGGCCATTAATGGAAAAAATATGCTTTTTTACCTTCAGATCTACGAACTGCTGAAGCTAACCAGCCAAACAATGAGCACCTGCTGTAAGCAGCACAAGACGAATACAAGCAGCTCACACCATTTATCCATTCAGAAAATGTTCTTTGCTTGTCAGTGTTAATGTTTGTTAACATATATATGGTGGGTGGTTTTTGTAAGAAGGCTTTTGATTAAAGGGGCAGTGTGAAGTCTAGTGTAAGTTAGAAAAACGTCTGAAATTGCTTACAGTAACTGTAAGGAAGCCTGTTAAAAACACTTTAAACCACTATGTTCTGAGCTACGATCACACCAACACGTACGCCAGTGTAGCTAAAGCTCTTTGAATGATACCTTCTTAGTGCTAATGAAAGGGGTAGGATGAATACTTGCCTTGGCATAGTGAAGTGGGATGTAATACATTTTTACTATAGTCTTGTCACTTATTTTCTTGCCCATCAGCAAAGATTGTATTAGAAAGGCTTGTTGGCTTCGATTTGAGTCAGCGAATTTATCCTTTTTACTTCCAGATAAAGTCCAATTAAGCTAAAAGCTTTACTGGCTTCACCATCCTTTCTTCTTTCTTTCTTTTCTAAACCTGTAACACCTACCTTCCTGTCTTGCCCCCCTAAGAAGAAGGGCAAGGGAGGAAACCTGGCTCTAATTGGACGCCCCCCACCCCAATCTCTGAGCCTAGAGTAAGATCAAAGAGGCACCTGGTTTGCGTGACCTTTACTCAGTGTTTTGGCTAAGAGAGTGCGTGGCTCAGCTCATATTTTCTGCCTGAGTCCGTTTGCAGGCAAAGCCAAAATTTGAGGAACTTTCACTTCTTGGAAATTAACTGATTAGCTTCTTGGAATTTGGTGAAGATGATAGAAGTTATATAAAATGGCTGGTCATCAGAGTACAATTAGATTAAAGAGCGAAAGCACACCATGTTGCTAATTTCTGCTTGCCGATATGGGATCCGTTTTTGAATTCTGGAGCAGGTGAAAGCAGTTTCTTGGTTCTACTTTACTACTTTGTAATTTAGCTAACGCTTTTATCCAAATTGGCATACAGCACACTTATCCCACGGATAATCAGTTTAGACAACTTGGGAAAACTGCCTTCCCCAAATAAAGGTTCTTTAATGGTTTTTGTAGCACTTTAGGTCCAGCAAACCACTGCATTTGGTCTTTGAGTCAATACAGTACTGTATATGATTCTTTAGAGATGAAAATGTGATGATCAGTGCATCTCCAATGATCAAAGCTCTCCAATGGCATCAGTTTGTGAAAAATTACAGCATTTTTTCCCCTGACCCCAGGTGTTGTTTCACACCTGCAACATTTGGTGACCACCATCCCAGATCTTTAACCAGCAGTATTCTCAGCATACTCCGTTTTTGTTGTTTCTTGTCATCTTTGATCTGATCACTTGTCTCTTTGGTCCTCAGGTTATGGCCACGCGGCTCCAGGAACAGATGCTGGAAAGGCGTTCTGCATGTTTTACGCGGTGCTTGGGATCCCTCTGACGCTGGTGATGTTCCAAAGCCTTGGCGAGAGGATGAACACCTTTGTGAAGTACATGCTGAAGCGCATCAAAAAGTGCTGTGGGATGCGCATCACGGAAGTCTCCATGGAGAACATGGTGACCGTGGGCTTCTTCTCCTGCATGGGAACGCTCTGCATCGGCGCGGCAGCTTTCTCCCACTACGAGGACTGGAGTTTCTTTCAGTCCTATTACTATTGTTTCATAACGCTCACTACCATTGGGTTCGGGGACTTTGTGGCCCTGCAGAACAACAAAGCTTTGCAGAGAAAGCCCCTCTATGTGGCGTTCAGCTTCATGTACATCCTAGTGGGACTGACGGTCATCGGGGCCTTTCTCAACCTGGTTGTCCTTCGTTTCCTGACCATGAACAGCGAGGACGAGCGGCGGGACGCCGAGGAGAGGGCTTCCCTAGCGGGGAACCGCAGTAGCATGATCATCCACATCCAGGAGGACACGCTGCAGAGGAGTCGACGGAGACGAGAACAGCAGCAGCAGCGCTACAGATCCGAGGTCACCGATCTCCAGTCCGTTTGCTCCTGCATGCATTACCATTCGCACGAGTTCGGGAGCTCGGTCGGCCTCGGGTTGGGAATGGGAGGAGGAAGCGGTGGCGGCGCACTTCTGCACCAGAACTCGTTCGGCTCCCAGTTGAGCCCTCATCAGTACCATCACTACCACTCGACGGTGTCTTACCGCATAGAGGAGATCTCGCCGAGCACTCTGAAAAACAGCTTCCTTCCCTCCCCCATCAGCTCCGTCTCGCCCGGGCTGCACAGCTTCACGGAAAACCTCCAGCTGATGAGACGACGCAAGTCCATCTGAGAACCGACGGCAACCACTGAACACACATATCCAATGCTGCTGCTCTACCAAACCTCATTTACGTCACTTTTCTCGTCATTATCTGGCTGATGTCGGACCAGCAGGAAATTTGATCGCTCGGTGGATACAATGGAACTTCGTTAAAAAGCATGAAGCATGGATATCTATTTTTGCAGAAAACATCGCCTGGGCCTTCTTCGCCCTTTTGAGCAGCACCCAGGTGGATTTGGATATAATACTACCATCCTGATATCTTGTCAGATGATGCACACTTGCATTTTGAATAATACAGAAGGAGATAGATATATATATATATATAATTTTTTAAGGGACGTGTGATAATGTGTGTTTTATCAAATGGTGAGCAACCTCTGGTTCTTTCTTGAGATTCAAGTGCCACACCACCGAAGGAGAAATAACGATACAACTGATTTGAATAGGACTACACAGAATCAGGTATTGTTTTCTATAAGCAATTCTATTTGAGAAAAATTAGACATTGATTCACATCATGCCAAAATATTGTTGCCAACCATAGCATGTGCATTAGTTGTCGTTTGATGTGCGTCATCGTTTCCGTTAGCCTTTTTGCTTTTCGTTTCTGTTAGTTTAATTTCGATCTAAGGCTTTCTGTAAATTATACATGTATGTAGAGGCTTTCCAAGTGCGTTATATTTTGAGGTGACAGACGAGCGACAACAAAAATTGGTTGTGAGAGGAAAATAATTGCATGTGCTTTGTTTAAACTGGTATGCGTATACTGTAATGAGGCAAGGCGATAGCACTGGATCCAAAATTAAAAGCAAATAATCCTTTAAAAATATTCTTTTTAAATGAAAGTCGAACTAAACATCCACTAAAACAGGGCCTCACAAATGGGAACGTAACGGCATTGCGGCTGATTATTAATCATCGTTATTTGTATAAACAACAGCACGACTATTATTCCATTGTGAGCAATCAGTGTATAATGTGTGCTAACCCTAGCAATGATTGCTTTATTCTCGACCATAACCATGGCATTTATTTGAATGAGACTTATTTAAATGCATCAATAAATATAGTTATTTATGTATTTTACACTTTGATGATGTCTTCAGAGAATGCCCTGCAAATGAGATGGTACCTCATAGGCCTAAACATTGCTCTGATGTTGATTGAAAAACATGGTGCACCTCTTTTAGGAATAGTCTGGATGTACTCAACAGTTCTCATTCTCTGCTTGCGGTAGGGAGAGTTTTTGTTCACTAGCATTGCATCTCTGATATAACCGCAATCATGTCACTTTTTGGTTTCAAACTAAACCTTTTTAACTCTTTTACTAGGTTTTACTGTATCCTGAATATAATATCTGAATATCTGTGTTACAGTTAGATTAGATTAGATCATCCAATAAACCAGAGTTGGAGTCAAGACTAGACCCTACAAGAGACAGACCAAGACTTTACGCTTTGAGGCCCAGAACCACACCAATACCTATCCAAGTATGAATTTATCCATTGCAATGAACTAAAATAGAGAAAATGCTGAATTTATTGCAGCGTTCAAATTGCGCAGTGGCTAAATAGCCATTCAAAACTATAGATGTTTTGTTAATGTTCTGTAATCATGAAGGCACCTTGTTGAATGTGGCTATCGTCTTTGGTATGCAAATTAACTCATTTTTAGTCCCTAAACACAGATGAAATCTAGACCTAGATGGAGCAATGCAACATTTATGTGGTCTGGACAGGTCTTCAAGACTCCAACTCTGACAATAACTAACCAATAAAATAACATCGCAAATAACAGGGATTTTTTAAATGGATGTAGAAGGCTGTAACTATTGTCTTTTTTTAATTTTTTGGTTTTCCTTGATAAGATTTGACATCCATTTAGTTGAACCAGTTTTAATTGAGAGTTGGTCTCTAATTTCAGTTCTGTTGACCAAATAAATCAGAAGCGGTCAGAGTGGTGACATTTTTATCTAAAAGATAAAGATTCTTAGACCAATAATAAATTAGATGAAATGTGACACAAACAGCATGAATCAGTTATTAAAAAATTAGCCAAACGTTTCAGGTGGTAGGTGACATTCGGACTGGACCCTTGCCAATGTTTTCTTGAAAAATGAATCTTGAATAATTGTTTTGATGTGGATCACTGAGGTATGCAAAGCCCAAAGTGCCCGCTAAAGTAATTTGGTTTCAGACAAGACTAATTAATGAGAGAAATTCCCGAGGGACTCCGGCGCTCCCGTGCACTCTTTGAGTCAATTTCCGAGTCTGTCAGCGGGAAGCGGTTTCAGGCTCAAACAGCTCACTCTTCTAATACCAATCAACTTGACGTCTGACGTTCTGGATTTCCCAGCATATGTTGCAGCACTCATGTAAATGTATGTAAATCGCTACCATTTTATAATATTGTACAGTGCATATATTGTAAGTAGTTATATCCTTGACAAATTACAAAGGCATATTTTAAACTCAGATGCATTCCCATTTTTACAGCGTTCAGCATACTGTATGTGCCTTGAAGGGGTATCTTTCAAATGTGGAGTTTGTATTTCATTAAGGCACATACTTAAATTCATATTCAGATATAGAAGCAAACATATTAAAATACTTCATTGTCAAAGCAAAAGCTCCCCATGTATTCACATGGAAAACATTGCATCAAATAAAACCAAAGCAACTAATCCTCACGAATGCCGCCGCCGCCCAAACAATGCACAAGTATATATTTTAGCATAAACACTGTCTGAAATATGTTCATTGTTTCACTAGCACAACAAAAAGCTTTATTTTCCACTTTTTATTGGTTGTCACTTTAACCAATGTATGTACATGATGGTTCCTGGGGTCAGGACAGAATAACATGTATTTTACATCAATAAACTGTACTTGCATTCTATATGTAATAGCCTGATGATAATTACTCAAACAGATGAGCTTGTATGTTTGGATTAGATGAAATGTAATAACTTTATGATTGCCAACAGATCCACTGCTGTGGAGGGACACTGAAAAATAATTAATATGTATCAAAATCAGTCCACTTTACTTAATTTATAAGAAATATAGAGATAGCATGTAATACTTATTATATTAAACTGCAAATTATTATTATTATTATTATTATTATTATTATGAGGAAACATGACAAAGGAATAGTTGACCCCCAAAAAATGATTTCTTCTGTATCAAAATCAGTCCACTTTACTTAATTTATAAGAAATATAGAGATAGCATGTAATAATTATTATATTAAACTGCAAATTATTATTATTATTATTATTATTATGAGGAAACGTGACTTAAAGGAATAGTTGACCCCCCAAAAAATATTTCTTCATTGGAATAAATTTGGAGAAATTTAGCATTACATCACTTGCTCACCAATGGATCCACTGCAGTGAATGGGTGCCGTCAGAATCCAAAGAGTCCAAACAGCTGATAAAAACATTGCAATAATCCACACCACTCCAGTCCATTAATTAACATCTTTGAAGCGAAAAGCTGCGTGTTTGTAAGAAACAATTCCATCATTTAAGATGTTTCAACCATCACTTCTGGCCAAAATTCAGGTCCACAATCCATGATGACGCTTTCTCCAGTGAAAAAGTCCATCCTCTGTTGTTCTCTCACATCAAAATCCACCGACTTATTTATTTAGAACTGTTTTGGACTGCTTTCTCTCATACATGTTGCTTGATCTGTGCATATTTCACTCCTGATTGACGTGAGATGACTTTTTCACTGGAGGAAGCAAAAATAAAATAGAGAACGTCTCGGTTACGTATGTAACCCTCGTTCCCTAAAGGAGGGAATGGAGACGTCACGTCGGAGGACCGACGAAATTGGGATCTCGCTTAGAGGGACCAATCTACTTCGAGTGTAAACTAAACGAGCCAATGCACATTGGCATGCGATTATTGCATCCAGCTGCTGCTGATCACAGCGTGAGTATAAGTAGGCAGCAGGTGCAGTGCATATTCAGGTTTTCGCTGAGGAGCCAAGCCAGTGACCTAGCTGCTCAGCGGTGGTACAGGAGCTGTGGCGACGTTAACTGATGGACTGGGGCGGTGTGGATTATTGTGATGTTTTTATCAGCTGTTTGGACTCTCATTCTGACGGCACCCATTCACTGCAGATGATCCACTGGTGAGCAAGTGATGTAATGCTGAATTTCTCCAAATCTGTTTTGATGAAGAAACAAACTGAGGGTGAGTACATTGTCAGCAAATTTTCATTTTTGGGTGAGCTATTCCTTTAATATTAATATTATATAGTCACTTGAGACATTCACAGTGTGACAACTAGCCTCGGCCTCCCCTAATAACTGTCTATTGCAGTTTTGCATTTGTAGTTTTATGTCATCTATCAGCAGAAAAACACAGTTGTTTTGACCATCTCTTTTTCATTTGTTTACGCTCAGCTACTATATTTTTGTCTTAATGCTACAGGAAAATTGCACTATTAAATCTGTCTGTCCACCCACAGCAGTGTGAATCACGCTGCTGTATAAATATGATTATTCACAATAATCACCACATGTTGCTCTGTATTCATTTCTACGATAATTTTTTTCTGCAATAGAATGCATTATCAAGGGATCTTTTAAAATCCCACTGCATCAAATAATATTTGTGACCCTGTCCGACTAAAGAAGGGGGTCCGTCATGATACGGATTCAAACTTCGGACTGTCAGAACAACATACTGTTTATTGTTTTTGCCTTTATTGGGAAAACTTGCAATGAGCATTTAAATTTGTTTGTTTGTCTTATTTGTTGTGTGTGCATGACATAGTGTGGCCGGCTGACCTCTTCACATGACTAGGATTAATTAAAAATTTGAATAAAAAAATGTCAACTTCCCTCTTTCCCTTAGAGTGCTCTCTGATTGGCTGAGTTTCTGTATCTATGACAATTTGCATAAACATGCATTGGTTTTACTGGTGATGGAAAAGTGTATATATATATATTTGCACACTTGTTTATTGTACTGAAAATAGTGTTATTTTAGTATTATTGAGAAAATATTATATTTTTTTAATATTTTGAATTCATTTTTTATTTTTGTATTTTCCATTTTAAAGGTTTAATTTTCTTGTGTTTGTCCTTTTTAATGTCTTTAGGCAGTCCT